TATTCAGAAAGAGTATTGACAGAGGTCGCCGCCAGAACAAAAGCAGTTTCATTGCCTGTCTGACATCTTATCACCGCTGAACAATAAATAGGTGTGAATATTTTTAGGCCTGTTGTCCAAACAAAGAATAGGATTAGGAACAATGCCGTTTTGGAACAGCTGGTTTAAACAATGAAGACAGTCACGGTCTTGATGAATTGGGGGTGCGGTTAGTAATAGGTACTTTTCAAGTTTTCAATTTTTGTTAAGAACTCTTTAACCCCGAAGCCGGGAATTGGGGGTGCGGTTACTATTACGTATGCGGTTTATATTAGGACTTTAACGGTACTGACAATTGGGCGGGCCGACACTTTTTCTGCGTAATAAGAAACAAATCATATATATTGACGAAAAAACGCATTCTAAGATATAATGTACAACATTTACTACATGTTTCTGACGAGTAATTAATTTTATTATTATGTGACAACGCAAGAATGGTGAAATAAAATACTTACGTAGAGAGCCTGAGCCCATGTGCAGTAGCACAGCCATTTAATTTTCCAATGACGTTGCCCTTTTAGTTTTCTATCCCGAGTGGTGTTTTCAATCCATTCACATACCTTTACGCCAAAATAAAAGAAATAATATATATATTAGTTACGAACGATATTTTTATCACCAAGTATTACATCAAGGTATAGCGTTGATTCAGGCGTAGGCACAGTAAATACCAAGTGGTTGATTTCGACATCGATGTAAATATTCGGTGTTCTGCGATTGCATTCGGTGAACTATTTTTATGTTTTCTCCTACAAAACAATGCCCTTTACACGCTTTGTTTGGAGTACTGAACGTAGTCATAACAAATTATACTTGCTAATAAAAACAAACGAACGTAACATCGATATTGCATAGTCATAAATCTTTCAATTGAAAACTGTAATCTTCATACTAATTGTCTTCAACTAATCATACGAAATTGGTAACAGTGCTATCCATGAGAAAGGCGTAACTGGGCGATACTTACCCAGCATCTTGTACTTCTTTCACCAATAATTCATGAGCAGCAACTAAAGAAGGGACTGTTTTATTTTGATTTTTGCTGCGTCTAGCTATGGTCTTCTTGTCACACTTTGGCGTAGCAAATTGTTTTTTCGAACATCGGCCATTTGGTTTCACCATAGTGTTATTAGATCTCTTATCAGAGGCACTTGAGAGATTATCTTGTTCGTTAACAGTCAGCATGTGCAGTAGGACAGTAATGTTTGTCAGAGGCTTATCCCTCGATGTTCGTTTGCGTAACAATGGAGGCCAGGTCTCCCGAATGCTCCAGCAGTACGGGACTCAAAATGCCAGCTGTTTTCTTCGATTTTCACGCTCGCGATTGACATTGTTCGTTATCTGACACGTTCTATGATATCAGTGGTTAATATTTTCTCAAGTTAAGGTTTTGATTGAGTACGACTCATTGAGACCGCCGTCAAATCAAGTGCATTCGGACTAGGACATTCAAACTCGGACTGGTTGTTCACAAGATAATGACGGTGTGAAATATGTCTGGATTTTTAAAAAAAATGCTTTGTTACAGAATAATAGTCTGTTAAAAGTGTCAGATATGAAATAATTTGGGGACAAAAAAACAAACCTGCATAGAAATCGGAATAAGAGGTCTTTTGATTATCGGAGACGCATTTCAATGGACTTGATTACCGACAATGCCTTGTGTAAATTTCACCAGGAAATTCCGCAGTGTGCTCTCGCGATCGAGGACTTAGTCATTTTTACAAGATTCGCCATTTTTGATGTCACGTGATAAGTATGTAAACAATGACTGTCCAGTTTGTGCGAACTTGTACCTCTATACTTAGTCTTTTGAAATATACAAGACAGAGAATGTTTTTTTCAAAAATGTCACAAAACCCTTCTCGCTACTAAATATAAAATAGGAAGCCAATGAAAAATAAACAGAGGTAGAACAGCGGTTTATAGGACAGAGTAATCTCCACTAACATCCTAATCATCTTAATCCAGTTTACTATGAGCGAAAGCGAACACCGTAATTGTGAACTGTATCAAAGTTAGACACGTACTGTGACAGAAAAAGGCACTAATTTAAAGTTGTTTTTTTAAAAACAAACAAAGTAATTTTTCAAAGGACTTACCTTACAAAGTCTTATCCTAAGATAACTACTAATAATATATCTTATCCTATCAATCTGAAATATAAACATAGTAAAAGTACTTAAGCCTTGCCTGTATAAGAGAAGGGAGGAGAGTTGTGTTTTACATCTGGTAATTAAAAACAAATTTTGCTGTTAAATAAATTCTACGTTCTATCATTATTTGCATTCTATGTAAAAAAAAACATGAAATAGCAATATAAGTTAATGTATGATGGAGTTTCCATTAATGATGAAATAGTTTTAGACATGGTGGCCAATAAATAGTACCGTTAAAGTCCTATTATAAACCGCGGTTTATATTACAATGTATCAATTTAAAAATTGGGATCAAAAGCTCAAGTTAGGGGTGCGGTTTCTATTACGTACATATTGCAATCACTAAATGGGCGTGGTCATTTTTTGTCCACAACACATGCACAAAACAAACAATACACCATACAATCTCTTGAATAGGTGTTGGGGAAGAGTGAAAGGCCTTATTTTGGTTCTAAAATAGGCGTTACGAAATGTTGAAAAATTACAGTCAATCAAAAAAAAAATTCAACATGATACAAAAAATACTTAGTATTTTTAATGAAATATGCATTTATTTTTTTAATTTTCTTGGTAACAAAAACTATATTCTAACAGAAGTTTCAAATAAAAACACGAATGCACTGCTTAGTAGCAAATGATCACATAACAGTAGCTCGTTCCGGCCATGCTGCGGGTCACAAGTGAATAACTTACTTGTTATCGAAGTGTTGATATTGGTGATTATTATTTAGTAGTGATTACAATAAATTCGTTGAATTGTTATAAAATGCAAGTAAAATTCAACTTAGTTTCCCTGTAAGCGAATGATTTCAGTCACATGTAAACAGCCGATACGATATCCGCCATGTTTTTGAATGCTCACGTGACGTATTATGGACCGGATAGGTCAAGTCGCCAATTAACCAATCAAAATGCTGGATGGTGCCCACGTGGCTAAATTACATAGCTCATTTAAATATGTTAATGACAGTTCAGCGACCACATGGTGAACGCAACACGGAAGAGATTTACCGATAATGTAGTGCGATCTTTTGCCTTTGATTTCCATGGGAAAACGGCATGATTTTTTTTTTAAATCAAGAAATTATTTGTTTTCGAAAGATAAATTATTCTTCAATGCTCAGTTTAACACTTTTACGGTGATAAAAGCTCGTTGTCTAAAACTTACGAAACACAGACGTATTCAGAACAAAAGCAGTTTCATTGCCTGTCTGACATCCTATCACCGCTGAACAATAAATAGGTGTGAATATTTTTAGGCATGTTGTCGAAACAAATGAATAGGATTAGGAACAATGCCGTTTTGGAACAGCTGGTTGAAACAATGAAGTCAGTCACGGTTTTGTTGAATTGGGGGTGCGGTTAGTAATAGGTACTTTTCAAGTTTTCAATTTTTGTTAAGAACTCTTTAACCCCGAAGACGGAATTGGGGGTGCGGTTACTATTACGTATGCGGTTTATATTAGGACTTTAACGGTAAATGCTTTCTAACTATCGTAAAAATCATATTTGAGGCCGCAGCTTTAATAGAAGCCGCACCCCTAACTTGAGACATTGTTTCATGTTGAAATTGACAAGTTTTGATCCCAGGAAATCTGCAATATAAGCCGCACCCCAAACTTTTGCAAACCAAACAGCCACCACATATTTCAGAAAAAGATATACCATTTAATTTTAAATTAAGGCAAAATTTTTCGAACATTTTAATGTTTCCTGAAGCTCAGATTAGAGTCTAAATAAGGTTTTCCGTAGTCATTCAAGAGTACAGTTTTATTGTGGGTAGCGTGACTGGGTAAACTGCGTTTCGACAATGAGCTGTTATTATCGTCAAAAGTGTTAAATTCTTCTTCAATGCTCAGCTTATCTTTTGAAAACAATTAATTTCTTGATTTAAAAAAAAATCATGCCGTTTTCCCATCAAAATCAAAGCCAAATGATCCCACCACAACAACGGTAAATCGCTTCCGCGTTTCGTTTACCATGAGGTTGCTGAACTACATTAACATATTTAAATGAGCTATGGTAATCACGTTGGCACCATCCAGCGTTTCGATTGGTTAATTAGCGACTTGACCTATCAGGTCAACAAAACAGTTTCAAGAGACGAGAGAGATGTTTGAACAAACATGGCTGATCTCGTATCAGATCGAGCATTTATATGTGACCGCTTGCGGTGAAACTAAGTTGAATTTTCACAACAATTCAACGAATTTATTTTTTGTACGTTATTGTAATCACTACTGAGTAATAATCAGCAATTGTAACACTTCGAAAACAAGTAAGTTATTCACTTGTGTGAAACGCAGTATGACTGTAATACAGTGATCATTTGCTACTAAGAATGCATTCGTTATCAAAAAAAATAAGAAAATATATATTACATTAAATAGTATACTGAGAATTTTTTTTTGTTATCATGCGAACATTTTTTTTTTGATTGACATTTTTTAATTTCCCTGATGTCTGAATTAAACTTGGAATGTACAGTCACTATGCCGGAAGTCGAACATGCCGCAATCGACTGTGTCAGATGGCTGTCTCTCACTTGTGACTTATACCGGTGCTAACAAATTAGTCTATTCTATTCTATTGTAGTATATGTAATCTGCAAATGCATACAATTTGTAGATATTATTTATTGTGCAGTATGTTATACTGTGTGAAATTTCGTTTGTGTACAAGTTTGTCTGTGTGTAAAAATCCGAAAATGTCGCAATGAGTGTCGTGCATTAGCATATCATTATCCCTTCTGGCTTTTGTTTTTTGAAAAAAATTCCCACAGTTACCGAAGTGAATGCTCTAATTAAAGCCGCACCAACACATGCTCTGTTGTCTCTGTAAAGTATCTTCCTCAAAATAAAATTGATAATGTTCTGTAAAATTCTTGAGTTTTTTTATGGTTAATGTTTCCACAATGTTCTTGTCATATCACAACTAAAGTATAGATTTGTTGTCATGGCAATTGTGATTTCTATCATCTTGTTACAAATCTCATAGAGAACCACCAAAGATTTTTTGCATACCAAGTATCATAGCGTTTAAGCTGGTAGTTTTCTAGAAGTCAAAAAAAAAATATTTTTTGTTGTTGAAATGAATACTCACTTCCATTCTGTGAATGATTATTCTAAAATCACCCTTTTTACATCGTTTTAAATTTTCTTCCATTTGTTGAATTTGTTCCAACATACATTCAACTAATTCCACCTTAGTTTCCAAGAGATCAGGAGCAAACTTTTCATTCAACCATGCCTGTTGAACAAAAAAAATTACATACAGTTATTTGTATAATATAATAGTTTTGTTTTTAAGTGAAAGCCCAGATGATCAACATACACACAATTTTAGACATTACCTAAACGAAAAAATGTTATCTGATTGGAAACTTATTCCAAGTATAAACTTTTGTAAATATATTCAAAATCAAACAAGAGTTTGCGATTTGCTGTTTTTTTTTTTTTGTATTGCTCTCTAAGCACGAAACTGGACAGAGTTCCTTTTGTACCCCCATTCCTAAATGGGTTAGCTTTGTTTCGACAATGAGCTGTTATCGCTGTAAATAATGATAAATTATTCTTCAAATGCTCAGTCTATCTTGTGAAAACAACTACCGGATTCGGCCGATACCCCGCCCATCCTAAACCCAGCCCATGGGCGATGTTTCAAATAGTGGGCGATGGTTTTGGTCTACACATTGCCTGACTGAACCAACAAACATTTTTACAGACCCCAATTTTCCCGTCCGACATCTTGTATCGAGCGCGCTATTTCAAATATGACGCTAAAATAATTCACTGTGAAGCCGAAAAGCATTAAAAACTTCAATAAAACCAATGCTGTATACGAATTGTTGTTGCGTATTATTACACTCGAATAAAGTCTACGCTTGAAAAGAATGTTATTTATGAAGTTTAAAATATCCAAGCCTTCCTGGTTCGAGCCTCTTGGTTGTTATCAGTAATGTTTAATCTTTGTCACTGTAGCCTCTTTGAAAACTAATTTGGATTTAAAATATCTTTCATATCTTATAGACCAGGAATGCTTTACACCCGAAGCACAGTCTGTGCTTATGAAAACAAAGGAAACTGTGATTTTTTCTTAAATTTGTGTTGGATTTTGGTATTTTACAGAGAAAAATATGCATATTTAAAAGTTGAAAAAAACAACAAGCAGCCTATCGGCTGAGATAGCTCCGCTGTTAGAAATGCACATTTCAATTAAAGAACTGAAGACATCATCAGAAAATGAACAATATGTATAGTATCAAAGCAATCGGACTTACAGTTTTTAACAAGAAGTCGAAAATATCACTTTCTACCAAAACTGACTAAAATATTCACCAAAATTAGAGAATTGAAGATATCATCATGAAATGAACAAATCTGAGAAAGGTCTACATGTAGTATCTATATATGTAATATCAAAGCAATTGAACTTTTGGTTTTTAACAAGAAGTCGAAAATATCTCTTTTTACCAAAAATGACAAAAATATTCACCAAAATTAGAGAATTAAAGATATCATTACAAAATGAACAAATCTGAGAGAGGTCCACATGTAGTACCTATATATGTAATATCAAAGCAATTGGACTTACGATTTTTAACAAGAAGTCGAAAATATCACTTTTTACCAAAAATGACAAAAATATTCACCAAAATTAGAGAATTAAAGATATCATTCCAAAATGAACAAATCTGAGAGAGATCCACATGTAGTACCTATATATGTAATATCAAAGCAATTGCACTTGCGGTTTTTAACAAGAAGTCGAAAATATCACTTTTTACCAAAAATGACAAAAATATTCACCAAAATTAGATAATTGCAGATATCAACATGAAATGAACAAACCTAAGAGAGGTCTACCCAAGGTACATATACACCAAGTATCAAAGCATTCAGGCTTGTAGTTTTCAAGAAGAAGTCGAAAAAGTAAAACATTGACACGGACGACGGCGGACAATCACTCATATGATAAGCTCCGCTCGACAAAGTCGACAGCGGAGCTAAAAAAACTATTTATTTATTTTTTCATCATTTATTTTAATTTATATATCAGTATTTTCACAAATTTAACTTTTTTGATTTGCTGAACAAAAACTGTCACTGCTCTTTGTACTACCCCGGTAATTGCTGTGTTGTCTTTCCATCTCCTGTTATACCGTTAAAGTCCTAATATACCGTATTTGTCTTCAGTTAAGCGCCACCTTCAATTAGGCGCCAGTGCCACAAAAACTTTGTATTTTACACCTCAATTAAGCGCCAGACAAAGTTGAAATTTTGGCACGTAATGATCGTGAATTGGGCGCCGGCGGATCGACTACCGGTTACCGGTTCGTAGCGATGGACGCGATCGCGGAAGTCCCTCGCTGTTACTGTACGAATGGCTTTTATGTAAAAAA